ACACCTGCAGGTTCCCCTCCAAGGCAGACATTATTCAGATTTGGAATTATGTTGTAGCTCCTTAACCATTGTTAGGTAAAAACATGGAACTCATAAAAAAGCACTGTGGGTTTTTCTACCCACCATGGGCTGCAGCAGTTGAAGAAGGCAGCTCACTGCCACTGTCTTGCAGGCTTTTAGGAATGGGCAATAAATACTGGCCTAGCCAGTGACACCTACATAGTGTGAACAAATAAGAAAAACACAATATTTGTAGCAAATTGTGTTAACTTCACCCTCAATTTACAAAAAGAAATACAGGTCAAGAATAATTAGTCCAATTCACCATGGATTCAATTGCCTCACATTCACAATAGTCCATCAGCCAAATAACTTATTTGGAAAGGTGACAACACCATTAACAAACATCAGAGAAACATTCAGGAACATTTATTTCCAATTCACAAAATTGATCAAACAAGTTCCAGAAAATGGTGACTAGCATGTCATATTTCTACATGTAGTTAGCCATAGCTATGAATGCATTCAGTCCTCTTCAAATGCCTGCAGCAATCAATACTCAGTACATATGCAATCAACATAGATTCTTTTGCTTTCCATAGCCCAATCATACATCTGCCCCATTGTCAGCTGTGGTTGTGTAGTTAATGGGAAGCTCTGAGTTTCGGAACAATACCGTCATATGAGGAGATACTGTCTGTATAAATTTAAAAATTAAGACAACAGCATAATTGATTGCCCTTGAACTGCTAATAAATATGCACCTTCATGCTGCGTTTTGATGGGATAAAATTGAGTCATTTTACCTGAAAAATCATCTGGAACTCTAAACTTAAACATAAAAATAGAGAAAATAGGAGCAGGAATAAGTCTTTCAGCCTTCCAGCATGCTTCACCATTCAATATGATCATTGCTGATCATCTATCTCAGTACCCTGTTCCTGCTTTCTTCCCATACCCATTGATCCCTTTAACCCTAAGAGCTATTCTCCTTGAAAACGTACAATGTTTTGCCCTCAAAAGCATTATGTTGCAGAGACTTCCACAAGCCCATCACTCTCTTGGTGAAGATATTTCTCCTCATTTCAGTCCTAAACAGCTAGCCTGTATTCTTAAACTGTGATTCCTAATGCTGGACTTATCTGACATTGCAAATATTCCCTCTGCATTTACCCTATCTAATTCTGTCAGATTTTACAAGTCTCTATGTAATTCCCCACTCATTCTTCTAAACTCCAGTGAATATAGTCATAACCAATCTAATATCTCTTCATACAACAGTCCTACCATCCCAGGGATCAATCTGGTAAAACCTTTGTTGAACTCACTCCACTGCCAGAACATCATTCCTTAGGCAAGGAGACCAAAATTGCGCACAATAAACTTTGAACACAGAAGAATACTTCCGGCTGACAAAAGGAATTTGAAAGCACTCGGAATTGTACTAACAGCTAGTGTGTCGCTTTGCTGATCCTCCAGACTTATGGAAAAAAACCTGGAAGATTGGAAATGAAACCAGCAATTTCTCACCCAAGTGTTGCATCTTGTCGCCTGACACATTTCAGGTACCATGCCTTAAGAGGGGGTGAGCGACCGTTGTAGTCTACGGTCATGTTTGGCAAGATATTACACTGATTTAGCATTGCCTTCTGTATATGACAGGATGGGATCCAATTTTTTCCCATCATGTGTCCAAACAGAATCTGTCCAACTCAACATTCATCATTGACATATGTTGGAAGGATTTCTAGTTGATACTTAACCTGTTTGACTGTGTAAGGAACACATGTACCTCAGCAAACAGGTCTTGAACCGGAAGTTTAACCAGAACTACTAACTTAGAGGCATAGTATAAGTCCCATGTTCCACAACTCCTTTTATCCTAAAAGATCAAGACATTTTTAGACTACCTGAAAAAGGTTCCTCCCACCTTCCCAGTCCAAAACAAGGAATTCAAGAGACATGGAGACTAAGAGGAATGGGAAAAGAGGGATGCTGGGTAATATGGATCAGAAGATGGGAGGTTAGTGAGAAAAGGATTGGAAAAATGGGCAGATTGGAAGAAAGAGAATGAGTTTCTTAGTAAGGTTTGTGTAAAACTGAGTTCAGGACCATGACCCCTATGAAAAGTACCTCAACAGTAATCCAACTGCCCGATAGTCAAGGATGGAGCAACTGAACACCTCAAAAATTTTCAATTAATGAGGGATGGCCAACATGGATTCAAGACAGGTAGCTCATGACTAACAAACTCAAATTCTTTGAAAAGGTGACTAAGGTAACGGACAGGGGTATGTCTAAATAAAAAAATGAAAGAACTGCGGATGCTGTAAATCAGGAGCAAAAACAAAGTTGCTGGAAAAACTCAACAGGTCTGGCAACATCTGTGAAGGAAAAAGAACAGAGTTAACGTTTCGGGTCCTGTGACCCTTCCTCAGAACAGTTCTGCCAGATGCTGCCAGACCTGCTGAGCTTTTCCAGAAACTTTGTTTTTGTTGTTGAGGGGTATGTCTATGTTGGTTATATGGACTTCCGGAAGCATTTGATAAAGTTCCACATAAGAGATTGTCAACTAAGGTAAAAGCCCACGGAATAAGAGGCAAATTACTGACATGGATAGGAAATTAGTTGAGTGGCAGGTGACAGAAAGTAGGGATAATGAGCAGGTACTCAAATTGGCAGGATGTGACTAGTGGTGTCCTGCAAGGATCTGTGTTAGGGCCTCAATTGTTCAAATTATTTATTAATGATTTGGATAATAGCATAGAAAGTCATTTATCCAAATTCACTGATGACACAAAGTTAGGCAGCATTGTAGTCATGTAGATGATAGCATAAAATTATAAAGGGATATAGATAGCCTAGGTGAATGAGTAAAACTATGGCATATTCAATACAAGCAAGTGTAGGTTATCCATTTTGCACAGAAAAAGGATAGATAAGGATGCTTTCTAGATGGTATGATGTTAAATACAGTGGATGTTCAAGGAAACTTGGGGCACAGGTGCAGGAAATAATCAAGAAAGCTAATTGAATGCTGGCTATTATATCTAGAGAACTGAAGTACAAGGATGCTGTTTAGATCCCACTTGGAGTACATAAGCAGATCACACCTTAGGATGGATATGTTAGCTCTGAAGGGAGTACAACATAGATTTACAAGAATGATACCTGCACTTCGCAGGTTACGAGGAGATATTATACAAACTGCCCCTGTTTTCTATCGAGTTTAGAAGGTTAAGGGGTGATCGAATCGAAGTCTTCAAGATAATAAGAGGAAAAGACAGGGTAGATAGACTATTTCCTCTGGTTGGTGATTTTAGAATTAGGGCACGTAGTCTGAAAATTAGGGCCTAGACCATTCAGGGGAGATGTTAGGAAGCACTTCTACACACAAAGGTGGTCAGATGTTTGGAATTCGCTTCCTCAAATGGCAGTGGATGCTACAGCACTTGTTAATTTTCAATCTAAAATAAGTTAAATTTTTGTTAAGCAAAAGCATTAAGGGATATGGGCCAAAAAAAATATGGAATTAGGCCACAGATCAACCATGGTCTCACTGAATGGTAGATATTGCAGACCAGACCAAACCCCCCTCAAAATATTCAGAAGACAGTCTAGGCCGTAAGCTTTTCTTATTTTAAAAGGTAAATGTAGGTGTTGCATCCCATGTGCAATTTGATTCATCATTAAATCCATCACTACTGGATTTAAAGCAAAACACACTTTATTCAGCCACTGTAGTTAAAATACATAAAAAGAAGAAATTGGAACAACTAACTCTACTGGAAAGCAACAGAATAATAGATACAGTAATTATTACTAAATAACGGTTCAAACATAGTAACATCCTCTAATCATAACCTCGGCATAAGGCAAATTCAAACACAGATTGCCCGCTATTTAAGTTGCATGTGAGACCAAGAACCCCAAGGTTCTAGCTGTAACAGAGGGGTAAAAATAACTTCCACTTCTTCAAGACTCCAACAGCAATTGCTGAAATCTAAACTAAAAATCCTGGTTCAGTGGGAGTTTGACCACAACCAAGATTCAATTGTTCTAACTTTAAAATAAAAACCCAAGACCTAACAAGCTGTTTACTGTAATGGTTCTAATAGACTACTCACTACCTCCACCTTAAAACCCATTTTTTTTTTAAAAATGCCAGGACAAAACAATGTCTTAAAGCCACAATATTGTCACAGTGGAATCAGCTTGAGGAGCTGAATGTTCCTTGTTCTTTGGGCAATTTCGTCACTCGGTTCAGGGCTATTTTGACATGTAATTCAAAACAGACCTGCTCGGATTAGGTATAAAATATATCAAAGGGCAAAGAATGAGATATGCCTATTAAATGTGGCATCCATTGGGGAGCTTGACCAAACCTTAGGTCATGCAACGGAATTGGTTTCAGAATTAAGAGTGTACTACAGGTATGCTATTATTAGTAAGATCACAATATTACATACATTATTTACTGATAGTGAGTTACATCACCTGTTGGTTAGAAGGGAAATATAATTGATACCTGCATTACTAATATCAGTTAGTAAACTCCAATTCTTTACTGAAAACTTACGTTAGACTAACTGGTCTCTGATTCCCCACCATCTCTCTCTATCCTTTCATCAATCGACAATTCCACACCTCCAATCCGTTGGGACCTTTCCAGCATCTGTAGTTATCGCTTCTCAAACCGTCATATTTATTCCCTAAAAATTTGTTAGATTATAATCCCTTGAATTGTTCCATTTTTGTTAAATTCTTCAATCTAAATAGAATATGGATTACACTCGCATGTAACTTCTGTCTTCTGAAGTTAGATTAAAAATGTTCTTGCCATTCCGACATAGTCGCAGTCCGCCACGAGCTCCACTTCAGCTATCACGTGTTTATGGAAGCGGCTACTGCTGGAGCTGGGTGTGGATGGCACATGCGCATCGATTTCTCGAGCTTTTCGGGATAACGGTCTTTTGTAACGGCGGGAGCGCGAGAGTAACGGCTAAGTGAGTGACTAACAACAGCTTTCTAGAAATGTTAATCGTAATACAGCTGGCTGTGTGAGTGTGATATGTGCGTTCTGAGCACGGCAGCTTCGGTCGCATTTCAGGTACACTGCACCTTTAGAGCAAAACCTTATTGTCGTTGAAACTTTAGAGTCCTTTGTGGAGATACCGTTATGCTATGGAACAGTAATTATGACTTTGTACCACGTTCTGAATCTGCATTTTACACCGTGAGGCTGGCAAGTTGTGTCGTAGGGTCGGAATCTAGGGGATGTATTGGTCAGAAATAAAATCGTTAAAGTGGTCATCTAATGTCACGTTTAGAAACAGCTATGACGGATATCGCAAACCAAATTTTCGTTGTTTAAGGAGATATGATTTTCGTGAATAAAACATTTTTGGCATTAAATTTTGTAGTTTTTTTGGGGAAATTTGTTTGCACTTAAATATTTTTGGATTCTTAAAAATTATGATGTATATAAAACTGGGATTATTTTTTCTAAAATGCACAACGCAAATGACTAAAATGTGCACTGAACAATTAAAAATAAGTACTGGTCCTGACTGCTGTCTTTCTGTTCCTGAAGGTTTATTTTCACTGTCTTGCACTTTGACTTTTGTAAAACGTTTTTATTCTGGTACCTTTTTTAGCTTTTTGAAATTCTGCACTCTTAAAAGAGTCCTTTGAAAAATTACCAATCCTTTACGACCTAGTTTCAGTTAACTAATAGTCATAATAGTTCTTTATTCATGTTTTAGTGGAAGGTGGAATGTACAAAATTCATGATTGAATTGAATGTTCATCTTTGTAAATTGAAGCTATTTACCCTATGCTGCACAGCAATTTTGCACCGAAAGGGTCACCATTTTGTGAAAATTGATTATTCTATCCAGAAAGCTATGAAACTCCCAGCCTAACTAACCAATGCCCCTTTAAATTCTAGTGTTTTCATTGTAGTACACTTTTTAAAAATTTGTTGATTACCCTTTGAGAACAAATTGAAATCAGTCCTGGAAGTTAACTTTTTTGTTGATTTGCCTTCAAATAACATTTTGCATTTACTTTTCCTGCTTAAATCGGTTCATTGAGGTTTTATTTGTTAGTTTTTGCCTTTTAGTTTTATGACTTACAGCTCATTAAGTCAAGAATTTTAGTTTTGTTTAGTTTAATCAAGTTATTTTATTTTACATTTGATGTTAAATAGTAATTATTTGGAGGAAAAAGGTAATTTTCAGTTATCTGATTTTATTTATCTGAAAGAATCGACACCTCTTTGCTACCCTGTTATTAAAACATTGGAACAAAATTTAGCCAGGCATAAATTCAGCAAATAATCGTAAGTAGAAATGAGATTCAATGCTTGAGAAAATATGGGTGCAAATTAAAACACTTGGTATATAAATAAATATAAAGGTGCATATACTTGTGCAGCAGTAATTTCTTTAGACAGCACTTGAAGAGCCAACTTTTACATGAATAATATTGTCAATGGATTGCACGTATGCTTAATTTGTGCCACACGGAATAAAGGAAAGAGCAAAACAAAATCTTGAATGAAATATTTTGAAAGTAAATTATTTTAAAAACTTTGAAAAAAAATTTCCGTCATCTGTCATTCACACCCAGGATGTGGCCATAAGGCTTGCTGTCCTTGAAAAACACTACTGAAAATTGATTTTAATTATCTTTGCAAAGATTTGATGGAAACTGATATAATTAACTCCCTTAGCATCATTTGTGTAAAAATGGAAACAACATTAAGTACACTGTACAGACCATTAGTGATAGCATGAAATTGTGAACAACATTTTAAGATGTTGTGACATTGCAAATGAGATATAAATAATGCAGTATAAATTGTCACATGCTCTGTGACAAATTAGCATCAGGTTCTTAAATTCAATCAGTACATCACAAACACTGCAATATCAAAAATCATTTTCAACACTTCAGGTTAAAATCCTTCAAAATCACAGATCTTCAGTGAGGTCACTTGCTTGATTTTTTTTTCCAAGTGGAGGGCATTTATTTTTCAGCATTTTTTGTTTCTGATACCTTTCCCTAGTCTCAATTATCTTCCTGGAATCATAAACTCTCTTGCTATTGCTTCGTTATGTCATCTTCATGAACGCTATGATTTTTAGGTGATTCTTTTAGTTGGAGCCAATACCAAGTCTTGGGTCAGTTGAACTCAACTTTTACAAGGGTATAAATGATTTAGAAGTGGTTCCTATTTTTCAAGTCCATTCTATCATCTACATTAGTAAGCAAGAATCATTTGTACTACTCAGCACGTGGAGAAAATAATCATAAGCCAGTTGGGTGATTTAAAGCATAACTGTGAAAATAAGTTAAGATGTAGTGACTATATTTGCCTTTGCTGAGTATGTTCTGTTTTATAATATCAACTTATTTTGAGTTTATTCTAATGTGCAGATGTATTTTTGAAAGTGAACGCTGGAAAGTTGAGACAAAAAAAGTTGGGAATTTAATTTTAATTAGTGAGCAGAAAAACTAACAGCTGTGTAATGGACCAGACTAAACCCACTCAAAATATGTTAAGAAGATAGCCTAGACGCCAACATTTTCTTACTTTTTAAGGTAAGTGTAAGGCATTATGTTCCAGATACAATTCGATTGTTCAAAAGTTTGAATCAAAACACACTTCATTCTTACTCTATAGGCAAAATACAAACAAAAGAATGAAGAATTGGAATAATTAACTCTATTGGAAAACTTCACAGAATAACAGATTATTGTAACAGTTGCTATTTAGAAGTTAAATAGAGTAACATCCCATAAACACATCCTTGGCGAAGGCAAATTCAGTGAATAGGTTGTCCCATAAGCATTTCTAACAGCAGGAAGAAAACTCAAGCTTCTAGCTGTAACAGAGGAATAATAGCTTCCACATTCAACTTCAAGACCCCCAGCAACTGCTGATAGTTAAATTGAAATCTGGATCTGTGGGAGCTTGACCATATCCCTTGTGTTGCTTCGATTGTTGCAGCTTCAAAGAAAAAATACTAAAGTCTCAAACTGTTTATTAGCTGGGAACAGACCGCTTGGTACCTGTCTTCATCAAAAATAGGATAAAGTATACCTCCTAAAGCCATTGTATCATCACAGCTATCACTAGAAATGTAAGAAATTGTTTCAAAATACATTTTTCAGTTTAAAATATAAGTGTACTGAGTCGTGTTGCCGAGGTGGGAATTATACTAGATCGCTGGTAGAAGAGCTCTGAACACAATCTTTTGGGCAGCATGGTGGCTCAGTGGTTAGCACTGCTGCCTCACAGTGCCAGGAACCCAGGTTCAATTCCACCCTTGGGTGACTGTGTCTGCGTGGGTTCCTTCCGGGTGCTCCGGTTTCCTCCCGCAGTCCAAAGATGTGCTTGCTAGGTGGATTGGCTGTGCTAAGTTGCCTGTAGTGTTCAGGGATGTGTAAATTAGGTGGGTTATATAGGGCGATGGGTCTGGGTGGGATGCTCTGAGGATTGGTGTGGACTTGTTGGGCTGTTGGGCCAAAGGGCCTGTTTCCACATTGTCGGGATTCTATGATCTATGATTCTTCTTGGATGCAGGATCTTGCCTGAGGACTGGAGGATTTTTGGTTTATTCACTCACAGGATGTGGGCATCACTGGCAAAGCCAACATTTGTTGCCCATTCCTAGTTGCCCTTGAGGTGTTGGCGTGAGTTGCCTTTCTTAATTACTGCAGTCCAGCAGGTGTAGGTGTGCATGCAATACTGTTTATGGAGGGAGTTCCAAGATTTTGACACAGCAACACCTGAAGGAATGGTGATTTATGTTTACAAATCAGTGTGGCGAGTTGCCTGGAGGGGAACCTGCAGGTAGTGGTGTTCCCATGCATCTGCTGCTATTGTCCTAGATGGTAATAGTTATTAGTTTGGAAATGTGCTAAGGAGCCTTGGTGAATTTCTTCATTCACCTTGTAGATGTTGTATACAGCTGCCACTGAACAGTGATATGTGGAGAGGTGAATGTTTGTGGATGTGTTCTAATCAGCAAGTTGCTTTTTTCTGGATGGTGTTGAGCTATCAGGCTTTGCTGTTTTTCTGCATGGACTGCTTTAGTATTTGCAGAGCCGCAAATGGTGCTGAACGTTGTGCATTCATCAACAACGTCCCTCTTCTGACCTTATGGAGGGAAGACCATTGTAGGAGCTAAAGATGCTTGGACCAAGGGCACTATCCTGTAGAATTCCTGTAGAAATGTCCTGAAGCTGAGATGACTGACCTCCAACCGCTACACTCTCTGCGATTGTTGTTGAGCCATGTGTTTTGTGCTGATGTGCTGGGCTCCTCCATTATTGAAGTTGTTTGAGGAGTCACCCCACCCCTGTAGTGTGTTCTTTAATTGTCCCCAAATGATTGTAATTCCATATGGTAGAACTTCAGAACTTGGATCTGATCTGTAAGTTGTAAAATTGTTTAGCTCTGTCCAAGACTTGCTGCTTTTCTTTGGTATGCCGATAGTCCTATTTGTCACTTCTTTGTTAGGTATATCCAGTGCTGCTCCTGGCATGCCATCCTGCAGTCTTTGTTGAGCCAGGATTGATTCTTTGGCTCTGTGGTTAATGGTAGAGAGGGGGATTATGCCAGGCCATGAAGTTGCAGATTGAGTTGACCTGCAGTGCCTCTTGAATTGGCTAGTCTTGAGTTGCTAGATCTGATCAGAGTCAATCCCATTTAGTACAGTGATAGTGCCACACAACATGGAGTGTTTTCTCAATGCGAAGATGGGACTTTGTCTCAGCAAGGATTGTGCATTGATCACTCCTATCAATACTGTAACGAGCAGAGGCATCTTTGGAAGACAGATTGATGCACTGATGTCAAATATGATTTTCTCTCCTAGAATCATACAGCATGAAAATAGACCCTTCAGTCCAACTCATCTATGCTGACCAAGTTTCCCAAACTAATCTAGTCTCGCATGCCTGCATTTGGCCCAGATCCCCTTAAAACTTTCCTACCCATGTATCTGTCCAAATGTCTCTTAAATGTTGTAACTGTACCTGCATCCACCACTTCCTCTGGCAGTTCATTCCACATATGAACCACTCTGTGTGACAAAATTGCCTAGCAGGTCCCTTTTAAATCTTTCTCCTCTTAATTTAAACATATACCCCTAGTTTTGAACTACCCCACCGTAGGAAAAGACCTTTGCCATTCCCCTTATCCATGCCCCTCATGATTTTACAAACCTGTACAAAGATCACCCCGCAAGCTCCTAGACTCCAGTCAAAAAGGTCCCAGCCTACCCAGCCTTTCCTTACTACTCGAACTCACTAGGCCTGGCAACAACTTGGTAAATCTTTTCTGAATGCTCTCCGATTTAACAATAATCTTCCTATATCAGGGTGACCAGAATTGTGTGCGGTACTCTAAAAGCGGCTTCACGAGCATCCTATACAACCTCAACATAATGTCCCACCTCCTATACTCAGTGGTCTAAGCAATGAGGGCAAGTGTACTAAATGCCACCTTAACAACCCTGTCTATTGTGATGCAACTTTCAAAGAACCCCTAGGTGTTTTCAACAAGACCACGCAGGGCCCTACCATTACCTATAAAAGCCCTGCCCCTGCTCACTTTACCAAAATGCAATACCTTGCATTTATTCAAATTAAAATCCATCTGCCGCACTTAAGCCCATTAACCCAATTGTTCAAGATCCCTCTGTAATCTTAGATAACCTTTTTCATTGTTGACTATACCATCAATTTTGGCGTCATTCCCAAACTTACTAGCCATGCCTCCTAAATTCTCATCCAAATCCCTCTTGTCCGGTTCCATTCCACCTGGTGCAATATGTGGTAATCAGACAGAGGTTCCCTTGCCCATGTTCAACCTGATACCATGGGAGAGGTCTGGAATCAATGTTGAGGACTTCTAAGGCAGTTCCCTTCCAACTGTATGCCTCTGTGCCATGACCTTTGCTGGGTTGGGTCTGCCTTGCTGACAGGAAAATGACGGTGTTGTCTGAGACATTGAATAGCCGTATGTAAACACATTATATGTTATGTATAGAATGCCCGCAGTGTGGAAACAGGCCATTCATCCAAACAAGTCCATAGCAAGGCTGTTGCTACATTGATGCCTGAGACAACTCTGTACAACTGCCATCTCAGAGGGCAGTTAAAAATCAACCACATTACAGTGGTTTGGATTTACATGTAGGCCAGACCAGGTAAGGATGAGCCAGGTGGAGTTTCATGACAGTCGACACCGGTTTCATGATTTTGGTCATAATCAGACTTTTGTTTGCAGATATTTGAATTCCATCATCTGCTGTGCTGAGAACTTGATCCACATCTCTCAGGATTACAAATTGCCACCCCAGATTGCAGATGTTACATTCTCTTCACAGACCAGAGAAGAATAACTACAGGTTAATTAATGTAACATTAGTGGTTGAGGGGGGGGAAGTTGTCTATTGTCGAGGTCAAAGTTAAGTGGCATGGATGGCATAGCAAGTAAAAGATAGCCAAGATGTACCTGTGTGATGGTAAATGGTGACTAAACTAATTGAATTTTCTGAAGTAACAGACTTACAACATTAGTAGAGTATGGTATTTGATTATCTCAAAAAAATACTTCTTTTTGAAATGAAAATGTGGTATTGAAGTAACAGAATTAGAATTAGGTTTAGTATCACATACAGACATGAGTGCAGTGAAAAGTTGTCACCGCACCATCTTAGGTAAGAAGATACCTTGATACAGAATCTTAGAAATAAAGAAAATAAAAACCTCAACAGTATGGTCCTTCAAGCAGACTGCACTGAGTCTCGCCTCCACGATGCATCAAGTCCCCACTGTGAGCATACCACAGCCCTGTTCCAGGCACCAAGCTATGTTGCAGCAGACAGCCCACCGAGTTCCTGAGTCCAGGCTGTTTGCCTACTGAAGCCAGGAGTCCTCGATCCAACCACTGCTGCTGCTGACAACCCTCCAACACCATTCTGGCTGCCCTATGACATCAGAGAATGGAAGAAGAGAAAAGGAGGGACGGCGAAAAAACAGAAAAGGAGAGAGAAAGAGAAGGATGCAGTCAGCCTGGAGCATATACAGGCTTAGGAGCCCCAACACACCCTACCTTGCTGGCGCTGTCATCTTTACGTGACCTGTCAATGAAATTGGCTACTGGTCGATTTTTAAAAATTGTTGTCACATGTACCAAGATACAGTAAAAAGTGTTGTTTTACATGCTACAGATAGATCCTACAGAACAAAGTCCATCAGGGTAGAATAAAATGCAAAAGTATGGAAGTGAACATTTTTTTCCATCTGAAAAATGCAAGAATCAGTATTAGGACCATTGATTTTCCCGGAATATTTAAATGATGTAGGCTTGGTTATATGAAGTACAAGTTCAAAAATTGTTGATTATGCAGAACAGGACAATGCACTTGTTTAAAGGGTAAAGTGATGTGCTTTGACTGATGCGATACGTGAAGGTAGTATAATCTAAATAAACTTGTTTTTTGCCATTGTGGGGTGTGCCAGATCAGAAGGAATAGTGGATACGTATTCTCAAATCCTTGAAGGTGGCAGGGCAGATTGATAAATTGCTTAAGTGCATGGAATACTTGGGCATGTAAATACAAATAAAGTATCGTATACAAAAATAAGGAAGACATGGAAAATGTTTACACATCAACTGGTTAGGCCTCAACTGCCCAAACTCTACTGAAGTGTGGCTGCCAGAATTTATCAAGACCCTGTAGTGGAGTCAAAGGAGGTTTATCAGGATTACAGCAGGGAAGAAGCTGTTCAGTAATGAGGAGAATTAGACAAACTGGAGCAGAGCGGCTTAAAGGGGTTTCTAATAGCATTATTCAAAATTGAGGGCTTCTGTAAAGAAACTATTTCCTCTGACAAATGATAAGGTTAACAGAGCGCACTGATTTTAAAATTATTGCCAAAAGAATTTGTGGGGAAAGGGAAAATTTTTCATGATTTGGAGCACAGTAGCTGAAGGTGTGGTGGAGCTAGGTGCCATCATAACTTTCAAAAAACATTTGAAACGTGCTTAACTAATTTACAAGGTTATTGGAAAAATCTGGGATGTGGGATTAAATTGGACTGTACTTTCAAAGAGCAAGCACAGGAACAAAAGCTAAATTTCTTCCTCAGAGCTGTAATAGTCTATGTTTTGATAATTGTAAAGAATGCAAGTTCCAGCATGGAATGGAAGAAGAGCAATTTTTAAATTTTCCATTTAATCTGCTATGAAAATTGCCTCATTTCTCAATGTGTAATCTACTCTTAAAAAGCATTGCATTTGAACATAAGAGTTGAGCTCATGTTTGGAATAACAACATTCCCAATTTACGGGATAAACTTGCTGAGACATCGGAGAAGCTTCTTTTTAAATTCTCAATCGTCATTGTTGTCAATATGTTCCCTTGGGCTAATACACCCAGCGTGCTTAAATGTTTCCAACACAGACGATAATGTAGGCATGCCTAAATGAAGAAAGGTTGTGTACTTCGGTTTCCTTTTCGGTAAGTTATGTGCAAGCACTATTCACATCTCTTTGTATTTATGCTATTCATGTTGTTTTCTTTTATTTCAGAATGTCTGGTGACAGTGCCTGGCGTAAGGGTTCAGGGGAACCTAGTTTTGCTCAAATATTGAAAAAGAATATTCCTCCAAAACCATCACAACAAACACTAAACGTAACTTTTACACCACAGGGCGGAACTGCAGAAGATTTGGACTCTGGTGTATCCAGAGTAATTCAAATTTCAGGTGTGATAAAAGAATTAGTTTTCATTTTCTTGTGTTTTGGACAGTTTTCCTTCAGTTTAAATAGAAATCATTAGCCTTTTTGTGCACGAGCATACCACCCGAAAAGTTTCTTGCTCCGATGTTCAGGAAATTTTGAAGGGTGTTTTTTAAAGTAATTAAAGTGAAGGTTCTAGGGTAGTCTGTCGGAAAGAATAGAAGAACTGTAACGTTTCAAGTTTGGAAAAGACATTCTTTATTTCCAGTAGGCCAGACAGCATCAGAGGAGCAAGAAAGCTGATTTTTCGGGTCAGGACCCTTCTTCAGAAATGGGGGAGTGGGGAGGGAGCTCTGAAATAAATAGAGAGAAGGAGTGGGGTTGGGGAAAGTAGATGGGATGGCGATAGGTGAGTGCAAGTAGGCAGTGGTCATTCCCCACCACTGCCTACCTGCACTCACCTATCACCATCCCACTACCTTGCCCAGCCCCTCTCTTTTTTTTTTCCTTTGTTCACGGGACAAGGGCATCACTGACCAGGCAGCATTTATTGCCCATCCCTAATTGCCCAGAGGGCAGTTAAGAATCAACCACATTGCTGAGAGTCTGGAGTCACATGTAGGCCAGACCAGGTAAGGATGGCGGTTTCCTTCCCTAAAGGACTTTAGTGAACCAGATGGGTTTTTCCTGACAATCAACAATGGATTCACAGTCATCATTAGATTGTTAATTCTAGGTGTTTATTGAATTCAAATTCCACCATCTGCCTTGGCGGGATTCGAACCCGGGTCCCCAGAACATTATCTGCGTCTCTGGATTAACAGTCCAGCGATAATACCTCTAGGCCATCGCCTCCTTGACCTGTCCGTCTTCTCTCCCACCTATCCGCTCCTCCCACCTCACTGACCAATCCCCACCACTGCCTACCTGCACTCACCTATCACCATCTCACCTACCTTTCCCAGCCCCACCCACCTCTCTATTTATTTTGAGGCTCCCTTCCCCCTCCCCCATTTCTGAAGAAGGGTCCTGACCCGAAACGTCAGCTTTGCTGCTCCTGTGCTGCCTGGCCTGCTGTTTTCCTCCAGCTCCTCACTGTATTATCTTTGACTCCAGCACGGGCAGTTCTTACTATCTCTTTATTTCCAGTATATTGGTTTTAATTTTTATTTATTTTTGACTAAACAAGGCATGGGAAAATCATAATCTACAATTCACCTGAACCCAAATTCTTATCCTGTATCACTCCGATATTTCATTTCAGCATTTGTTTTCTTAAAAATCATTCTTCATTATATCTGTAACCAGCAAGATCACGTTTATTTCCCATTCCTTGTTGCCTTTAAAGGTTGTTCATTGAATTAATACAATCACTGTGGCAATGGGATGCTTATTGTTATTGGTTCAGGAGTTCATGGATTTTGACCCAGTGATAGAATGACAGTTAAATGTTCAAGTCATGGTGATTGGAAGGAGATCTTTCCATGTGTTTGTTGCTATTGCCCACCTATTGTGTGGAGGTTTGCAAGGTGTTGTCAGTGGGTACTTGGTGATTTGTTGCAAAGTATCCTATAGAATTTTGCATCTATGTGCTGACAATCCAGCAAACTGCCTGTCCCGCATGGTTCAACTCTCTCGAATGTTGTAGCTGCAGTTCCCCAAACAATTGGAAACTACTCCGTTCTGTTCCTGATTTGTGCACTGCTCATGCTGGAAAAGGCTTTCTGGAATTGGAAAGAATGCCACTTACCTGTTCTTGGACCTCCTGTACAATTCATGACATTTATGTGGCTGGTCCACTTGGGGTTCTGGTCAGTGACTATTAGTTTACTTGGCCAATATCAGTTATATTCAAGAATGACAATTTGGAAAAGTCCATAGGAAATATATAATCTGTTTCAAGAGAAAGGGTAAAAATGATGATTAGGAAATATTGTCATGCAAGAAAGTTGAAATCTGTTACTATAAATTATATTATTCTATGGACATTATCATCATTAAATCATAGAAATGTGCAGTATAGAAGGTGGCCAGCAGACCCATCGTGTCCTCTTTAGCCAGTAAATTGTCATTTGCCCTTATTCCACTTTCCATGTTTTGGTCTGTAGCTTTGAACGTTTTTTTTGTATATTTTACTACTTAAATGTTGATATTTTCTGCTTCTACCACTCCTGTGCAGTAAATCCCCTAGAAGTATCTTACCTCTTGCCTCAAATCTATGACCAAAGAGAATAGAGTCATCCTATATATTTTATCCCAAACTCTCATAAATTCATGCGCTTCAGTTATGTCTTTAACCTTCTCTGTACCAAAGGAAACCAGCCTCACCTGACTAGTATGTCCCATAACTAAAATTCTCCAGTGCAGGCAACATCTTCATAACTCTGTGCCTTTCTCTTGTGCAACCACATCTTTCCTGAAATGTGGTGAGCAGACTTTTATGTAGCACTCTAGCTGGGAGCTAAATGTTTTAAATAGTTCCAGCATAACCTCCTACGTCTTTTATGCCTCAGCTAATAAAGGCAAGTGTCCCATGTACCTACATAACTACCTTTTATCTTCAGATTAATGAATGTACCAGTTAAGTGTTATAAAGACCTTGTTAACGTTATTGTGTATCCCTGTGCTTTGTTAGACTTTCCATTTTGATTGTTAATGCTTCTTGAAATTAATTGCTATTTGCCACTGTTGTAACTACTAGTTCACTGATATCTTCCTGGAGTCTACAACTTTAGCCACACAGTCAATTTTTAGATATTATCTGTGCACCTCTTTATTATACCCCTTACATTAAAACCCAAATCCTTTTAAAGTCAAAAAAATTTGAAGAACTTTAAGAAATTTAAGTATTGAACCCTGCAGAATTCCACTGGAAACAGCTTTCAGGTCACAAAAACACCCATCAGTTGTTACCCTTTAGTCCTTGACTCTGAACTAATTTCTGAATCTAATTTGCTACTTTTGGTTTTAATCTGTTATGGACCAGTTCAGACCCCATCAAAATATATTAACAAGATAGCCTAGACCCCAACTTTTTCAAGTTTATAAAGGCAAGTGTAAGGTGTTGCGTTCCGGATATAAAACAACTGGTCAAACTACGAGGTTTGAATGCAATTCTAGCAGCAGGAAGAGACCCCAAGCTTTTAGCTGTAACAGAGAGAGCAATAACAGTTTCCGTATTCAGCTTTGAGACCCCAGCACCTACTGAAAGGTAAAACTGAAGTTCTGGTTCTGTGGGAGCTTGACTTCCCCCATTCGAGCTGCTTCTATTGTTCCAACTTTTTAATAAAACATTGCCAAGGCGCCTCAAGCTGTTTACTTTAATGGCTGGGAGCAGACCACTCTATACCTCTTTCTCAACCTCTATCCGTTCCTGATTATAGTTTAGATGTGAACCAGTTTTTGCTATGTATTTTAAAAATGAGTTTTGTTTTAGAATATTTAAAATTTTTGAGGTCAGTAAAGGAAACCTGGTGAAAGTCTCTTATTTTAGATAGCAGTACTAAAAGACAAACATTGCGTATTTCGATATTTGAATCAGAAACATTTATACTAATAATTTTATTGTCACCGATGACCACTGCGCTTGCTCACCTGATAACGGGCAGGATAGATAAAAGGGAAGCAGTGAATGTAATATATTTGGATTTTTCAGAAGGCGTTCAATAGGCACCACACATTAGGCCACTTGACAAAGTAAGAGCCCATGGTGTTGGAAGTAGCATATTAGCATAGGTAACTGATGGAAAACAGTTGTGATTTTCACGATGGCAATCTGTAACTCGAGCGCTACCGGGATCAGTGCTGGGGCCAATACAATATAAATGACTCTAATTAGGAAAGTGATTGTGCTATAGCCACGTTTGCAGATCTCACAAAAATGTGAGAAGGCAAGTGGTCAGGATAACATAAATGGTTGCGGAGAGATATAGACACATTATATGATTGGGAAAAGACTTGGCAGACAAAACTTTTTCAAAATGATATTCTACAGTTATACACTTTGGCAGGAAGAGTTTAGGAGCTGAGTATTATTTAAATGGAGAAAGACTGCAGACGGCTGCCAGACAGGGGATTTGGAAGTCCTTGTCCATTAATCTCAAAAGCTGGCATCGAACTTCAGTGGCTAATAGAGTAGGCAAATAGAATGTTGGCCACTTTTTCAAAGGGAATACTGTGAACAGTTTTGTGCCCATTATCCAATAAAAGATATCCTAACTTTGGGGGCAGCCCAGATAAAGTTAGCTAGGTTTGTGAGGACTGTTATGAGGAGAGTTGAGTAGATTTAGGCCTGTACTCATTGAAATATAAAGGAATGAGAAGGGACCTAATAGAAGCATGCAAGATTCTTGGGGGACATCACAGGATAGACATGGAAAGATTATTTCCCCTTTTTTTGGGAGAGTCTAGCACTGTAGAGCATAACCTCAGAATAAGGTTGCACATTTAAGACAAGGTGAGGAGGCGTTCTTCTCTGAGGTTAGTGAATCTATGGAGTTATTTACTTCAGAAGACTGTCAAGGCTCATTCATAAAATACATTTAAACCTCGGATAACATTTGATTTACTTACTGATTAAAAATGTATACGGTGGAAAGGCAGGAAAGTGGAGTTGAGGATTATCAGATCAGCCATGACCACACTGAGTGGCAGAGCAAACTCTGGGATAAGTGGCATACAGTCTTACGTGCTGCTTAATAGCACTGTTGATGACACCTCCCATCACTTTACTGGTGATCGAGGATAGACTAATGGGATGGACAGGTTGGATTTGTTCTGCTTTTTCTGTAAAGAATGCGTGGGCAGGTTTTCCCATTGTCAAATAGATGCCAGTGTTGTTGTTGTATTGGAATGAGGGATGCAGCATGTCTGGAGTTTTTCTTCAGTACTACAGCTTTTGCAGTATCCAGTGCTTCCAGCCATTTCTCGATATCACATGGCATTGATTGAATTGACTGGAGACTGGCACCTGTGCTCCTGCAAACATCTGAAGGAAGCTGAGATAGAACATCCATTTGGCACTTTTGCTGAAGATTTTTGCGAACGCTTCAGCTTTGACTTTTGCATTAAGGTGCTGGGCTTTGCCATCATTGTGGATGGAGATGTTAGCGGAGCCTATTTCTCCAGTGAGTTGTTTAATCGTCCACCACCATTCATGTCTGGATGTGAAGAACTGCAGAGCTTGGATCTTTTCTGTTGGTTTTGGAATTGCTTAGCCCTGTCTGTCACTTGCTGCTTATGCTGCTTGGCAAATAAGTAGCCCTGTTTCATAACTTCACAAAATTGACACATCATAACTGGTGCTACTCCTGGCATGACCTCTTGCACTTTTTGTTGAATCAAGGTTAACCCCTGGTTTGATGGTAATGGTAGAGTAGGGGCTATGTTGAGCAATGAGGTTGCAAATTGTCTTCAAGTATGATTCTTCATGATGGCCCACAGCACCTCCATCGATGCTCAGTGTTAAGTTGCTCAACCTGTTCAAAATCTGTCTCATTTTACATGATATAATGCATGGTATTTGCAAATTGAATGCAGAGCTTTGTTTCCTCAAGGACTGTGTGGTGGTCACTGTTACTAATGCCATCATAGACAGATGCATCTGCAGCATGCAGATTGGTAGGGATGAGGCCAAGTATGTTTTGTTGTCTTTTGATCCCTTGCCAATTGCTGTAGCAGTGTCCTATAGAGCTCAACCATCTCGATCAGTAGTGTTGCTACCAGGCCATTTTTGGTAATGGACATTGAAATCCACCATGGGGAGTACATTTTCCACTGTTGCCACCCTCTGTGCTTCGTTCAGGATGGAAGAGTGCTGATTTATTAGTTGTGGGAGAGGGGAATTACGTGAAGTTTCTTTAGCCACGTTTGACATGATTCCATGAGATTTAAGTGGGTCTGGGCTCAATGTTGAGGGCAACTCCCTCCCAACTGCATATTACTGTTCTGCAATCTCTTCTGAATCTGATCGTTGCCATTGGACATGACATACCCAAGGATGATGATGATTGTGGTGGTGGTTTCAGGGACATTGTAAGATATGTTTCTGAAAGTGTGACTGTCAGACTACTGTCTATCTAGTTGCAATCCATCTCTCCCAATTTTGGCAAAAGCTTCCTTATGTTAGTAAGGTAAGACTTTGCAGAGTCAACAGGGCTGTATTTGCTGTCAGTGGTACTGTTGTCAATTCCAAATGATCTGTTAGGTATTATTCCTTTCATTGAGACTTTTTAGCACTTGTTACAACTGAGTGGCTTACTAGGACATTTCGGACAGCAGTTAAGTGAGCCAGTAGACCAGACCAGGTAAAGACAGCAGATTTCCTTCCCTAAATGATAGTGAATGAGAGATTTTTTTTCTGGCAATCAAAAATGGTTTCATGGCTATCATTCCGGATCGTGATTCAGACCATTCCCGGTTTTTATTGAAAACAAATACCACCGTCTGAACTCGCCATCAGTTCAAACCTGGGTTCTCAAAATATCATTGAGTCACTGCATTAATAATGATAATACCATAAGCCATGCCTCCCCATTACTCAAAGCCTTTGAATCATGCCTTCTATTTCTTCAAGCATGCCATGCTTCACTTGTTATTGTCCTGCATGGCAAGCCCTCTACTGCAGTGGGATGAGTTCTTTATAATTAATTGGAGTCAATAATGGCAGGCTGGAATAGCCATCTGCAGGATTTCCCTTCACAGACCTCATTAGGGTGGAGATTGGAAAATAGTAGGATGCCTATCTCCCACCAATTTAAATAACCCTCTTACTTAGCTCTCCATGAGAAGGCATAAGATCCCACCACTTGCCTGACATCTGTTGAAACCCTGAAGGGTACCTTTGTTACCTTAGGACTTGACTATTACCAGTGGTCTCCTACCTTTGCACCCTGCATAACTTGTGTTCATCCAGAACTGCTGCCTGTATCCTCAACAAAAAAATAAAGAACTACAGATGCTGGAAATCTGAAACAAACACAAATTGTTGGAGAAACTGAGGTCTGGTAGCATCTGTGGAGAGAGAGTCAGCTTTTCAGGTCCAGTGACCCTTCTTTAATGGCTTTGTTTCTCTTGATCTCTATAACCTTTTCCTGCCCTACAAATGCTCTGTGATTTTTTTTTTTTTGTTGGCTCTATTCTGGCATGTTGAGCATTCCCAATCTTATCTGATGCACCATTGGCAACAACTTCACATGCTGAGGCCCCAACCTACGGAATTCGTTCCATACTGTCCTTACTAGTGTCTCCCTTTAAGACACTCCTTAAAAGTAAACTTTTTGGGCATCTACGCTCTTGTCTCGTGATGTGGCTTGGTGTGAAAAATATTTTTGTAGATAATGTTCTTGTTGAAGCACCTTAGGATTTTTTTTTTTTGCTACATTATAGTTGAGTGATACATAAGTGCAAATTTGCATTCATTTACCATATTCTAGTGCACCATCTTTAATTGTCTCATCAAATATATTGTTTTCACCAAGGCTGTTTTTTATAACCAATTGAATAGAATTTTACACACATGTTCTTTTTCAGGTCAATTCCCAAAGTCACAATTTGTTGAATATACGAAACCACTCACAAACACTGCACTACCACCAAAGAAAGTATCCAGGGAATTTATTGATAAATATAGACGTGGTGAGATCAACCCAGTTTCAGCTTTGCATCAGTATGCACAAATGTTGCGAATGCAACTAATTTTAAAAGAGACAGTAGCCACAGGTGAGTGGAATTTGTTTTTCCATAGCAAATGCCCTATTATCAATTATTTAGTATTCATTTTGCTGAGAATGTTAAAATTTTGTTTTTTAGGTAATGTTTTTGGACAATATTTTGCATTCTGTGCTGTAGTTGATGGGGTTGAATATAAAACCGGAATGGGTCAAAACAAGAAGGAAGCAAAAGCTAATGCTGCACAATTAGCTCTTGATGAACTTTTGGACACAGAACTAAGCAAAACTTCAAGTAAGTGTTTTTGCCAAAACCAGATAAGATAGTACTGAGAGATTTTTTTTACACAGCACTGAACTCTGGTGAGATCTGACTAACTTGCCTGGTTAGTTAATCATGAAATGTTAGATTGAAACAGTGTCTAATTCCTGTGCAACGTGTAATGAGACTTTGAACCCCGGACTCTTAAATTCCCCAATCCTCAGATTTCTCTTGTCCAGCTCCCGTTCCATTGGACTGCTACCTCTGACTTGTTTCCCAACCCAGTGTCACATACAAACCTACTGAGAAGCAATTTGAAGATCCCAAAACATTTCAGTGCATTTTGAATAAATACCTAACCGAACACAGCAGCTAATGTCTGAAGGGGATGTGGCTTCTATGCAGATAGTCTTTACTATTACATCCGATACCTGGTGCTGATTGAGTTTAGAAGGATCTTCCATTAGAATATCCGGCCTGAAACAAATGAGGTTAATAAGTTGGTCATGTTTTGTGCTGACTGGAATATTTGGGACTTTAAAATCTTACTGATATCTGTGATTTCAACTCAAACTTAACAATCCAAAATATCTACTGTGTCATCTTCATTTGTAGAATCTGTACAGATGTTATTCCAAGGCTGTAATCTAAAGTGATAATGGAGGCTATTACTGAAGAATATCTGAATCTCTCTCTCCTGGCTATAAAGTCATACTGAAATGTCTTTTATTTTGAATCCTATCCCAATCCCTCTGTTGAGTAAAATGGCAGAGTGTAGTGCACTGGGAGGCAAGGATGAGATTGCAGAGCCCCAGATGTTAATTTCAAAATACTTTCTGGCCACAAAAAAAGGTTTTCACAGGACTGAAGAAGAGCTTATGTGGTACCATTATTCAAGAAAGGTGGTAGGGCTAAACCAGGAAACTAACAGGCCATTGAATTTAATATCTGTGCTAGGAAAAGATTTTGAAAATGTTCCGAGGGACAGAATTCATCTGTAGAATCCAGGATTAATCAAGGATTGCCAATATGACTTTGCAAGTGGGAAATCAGACAAATTTGTATTTTTCAAGGAGGTAACTAAGTGTGTACTTGACTGATGTAGCCTACATGGATTTCAGTAAGACTTATGACAAGGTGTTAACCAAGACTGGTTAAGAAACTGAGGCCATGGGATCCAGGACAGTTTGGCAAATTGGAAGTAGAATTTGTTTAGTGGCAGGAAGCAGAGGGTGATAATCAGCAGGTGCTTTCATTCTGGAAGCTTGTATCCAATGGCATACCACAGCATTCAGTGCTGTGTGTCTTTACTGTTAGTTGTATACATTAATGACCCAGACATCTAGAGGTGTGATCAAAAAAATTGGTGTGGTAATAACAAGGAGGAAAACCCTTTTCAGGCATTAAGAAGGGTAATACCAAAACGTTGACTGTTCCTTTCCTCCAGATGCTGCCTGACCTGCTGTATTCTTCCAGCCTCCTGTTTGTCTACCTTGGCTTCCAGCATCTGCAGTTTTTTTTTTGTCTCAGGGAGTACATGTTGAATGGTAGGACCCTAGGAAGTACAGAGGATCAGAGGGACCTTGGTGTGCATTCCCATAGGTCCTTGGAGGCAGCAGGACAGTTAAATAAGTGTTTAAGAAGGCATATGGGATATTTGCCTTTATTAGTCAAGGCATTGAGTACAAGAGCAAGGAGGTCATGATGGATCTGCGTGTATTGTTTGTTAGGCAATAGCTGGAGTGCTGTGTGTAGTTCTAGTTACTGCACTATGGGAAAGTTTTCTTTCTATTCATTTGTGGGATGTGGACGTCGCTGGCTGGCCAGCATTTCTTACCCATCCGTAGTTGCCCTTGAAAAGGTGGTGGTGAGCTGCCTTCTTGAACCGCTACAGCCCTCCTGCTGTGGGTTGACCCACAATGCTATTAAGGAGGGAATTCCAGGATTTTGACCCAGCAATAGTGAAGGAACTGTGATATATTTCCAACTGGATGGTAAGTGACTTGAAGGGGAACTTGGCAGTGGTGGTGTTGCCATATATGTTTGATGCCCTTGTCCTTCTAGATGGAAGCGGTCGTGGGTTTGGAAGGTGCTGTCAGAGGATCTTTGGTGAATTTCTGCAGTGCATCTTGTAGATAGTACACACTGCTGCTACTGAGCGCTGGTGGGGGAGGAGTGAATGCTTGTGGATGTAGTGCCAGTCAAGCAGGCTGCTTTTTCCTGGACGGTGTCAAGCTTCTTGAGTGTTGTTGGGGCTGCACTCATCCAGGCAAGTGGGGAGTATTCCATCACACACCTGACTTGCGCCTTGCAGATGGCGGAAATGCTTTGAGGAGTCAGGAGGTGAGTTAATCGCCACAGTATTCATAGCTTCTGGTAGCCACTGTTATGTGGTGAGTCCAGTTGAGTTTCTGGTCAGTAGTAACCCCCAGGATGTTGATAGTGAGTGGTTCAGTGATGGTAAAGCCATTGAATGTCAAGGGACAGTGATTAGATTCTCTTATTGATGATGGTCATAGCCTGGCGTTTATGTGGCTCGAATGTCACTTGCCACTTGTCAGCCCAAGCCTGGATATTGTCCAGATCTTGTGCATGTGAACACGGACTGCTTCACTATCTGAGGAGTCACGAATGGTGCTGAACATTGTGCAATCATCGGCGAACATCCCCATTTCTGACCTTATGATGGAGGGAAGGTCATTGATGAAGCAGTTGAAGATGGTTGGGCCTAGGACACTACCCTGAGGAACTCCTGCACAGATGTCCTGGAGCTGAGATGATTGACCTCCCACAACCATGACCAACTTCCTATGTGTCAGGTATGAATCCAACCACCAGAGCATTTGCCCCCGATACTCATTGATTCCAGTTATGCTAGGGCTCCTTGATGCCACACTCGGTTGAATGCAGCCTTGATATCAAAGGCTGTCACTCTCACCTCACCTCGCCTCTGGAATTCAGCTCTTTTGTCCATATTTGAACCGAGGCTATAATGAGATCAGGAACTGAGTGGCCCTGGCGGAACCCAAACTAGGCATCATTGAGCAGGTGCTGCTTGATAGCACTGTTGATGACACCTTCCATCACTTTACTGATGATTGAGAGTAGACTGATGGGGCAGTAATTGGCTGGGTAGGAATTGCCCTGCTTTTTGTGTACAGGACATACTTGGGCAATTTTCCGCATTGGCGGATAGATACCAGTGTTGTATCTGTACTGGAAAAACTTGGCTAGCGATTAACCAGAGTATTACCTGGGCTGGAGCAATTTAGCTATGAAGAGATACCAGATAGGCTGGGACTGATTTCAGTAGAGCAGATACCTGATTGAGTTGTACATAGTTTTGAGGGGCATAAACAAGATAGAGATGGAGAAACCTAACCCTTTAACCAGAGGGGTCAATAACCAAGGAGCACAGCTTTAAGGTAAAGAGCAAGCAATTTAAAGAGGATTTGAAGAACCTTTTTCTCGTGGAGGGCTGTAGCTGTTTGGAACTTGCTACCTCAAAGGGTGGTAAGACAGGTACCCACTTGCAAGACATTTGAAAGAAATATTGAAATGAGCACTTGAAATGCTATACCATACAAGGCCATGGCCAAGTGTTGGAAAGTAGGATTTGAATAGATAGAAATTTCTATGATTGGCACAGACACTGTGACCAGAAAGGGCCTCTTTCTGTGCTGTTTAAAAATGGAATTCTTCATTATTTCAGAGTTTTAATGTGTTACTGCACCATGAGTATCATGGCTATTGTATGAATCTCCCACTGCACACTGACTTCTTTCCTCATCTCTTATGGTTTTAGTTTAGCTACTAATACAAAACACTTTTTTTTTGTTGCACAGAAATATATGCATTTTGGTGGGTCAGACCAGAATGAAAAACTTGAAGAATAGTTGCTTGTAGAACCTGGGAAAAGGGTCACAATAATTAATGCCTACTTTCAGTAGCATCTTCAAGGGAACACATCCTTTAGGTTCATGTCACTGGTGTAATAAAGACAACTTGTATTTGAAAGGCCATGCTATTTTAGTTATGACAGTGATGTTCATTCAAAGATAAATGTAATTGTTCACAGCAGCGTTCTAAGTGTTTAATTTCAGCTACAGGTCCTGCACCAATACCTGCTGAACGAAGAATAATACCTGCATCATGTTTGCCTTCAAGAAACCAACCAACAAAGTTAGGTTATGGTGAGCAAGTAGTCATTGTTTAGGTTGAATATGATTTGAGCTGACCTGTTTTCAAAAAAAGGTTCTGTATTAATAACTATATGTTTGATTTTGAAATAGAATTCTGACATTTTTGAAACAAAAGCCAGTAAATTTCAACTTCATGAAATCTACAATTAATATATCAGTTGCTAATGAGGAACCTTTTTTATTTTAAATTGCATTGCATATTATTGCTAATGTGTTTTTCCACCTTTTTTTTAACCTCTGAAAGGAAAACTTTGATTAAGTGTTCCTCTAAGAAAAAAAACACATTTTATTTGAAAATAAACTTTCATATTTTATTCTGATAGATCAATTAAAATAACTATTAACTTGTTAATGTATAGTACTATGGTCCATAGATGTGCCTCCATTTATTCTGTGGGAGTAAAGATATAGTTTTTACATGCAGACAAAACAAAATGCTGATTTCTTTTTCTCTGTGGTGCTACTTTTATCAGCTGCTATTTTAACAGTTTTGGCAGAAATGAATGCCAGTTGCAAGTTTGCAGATCTGAGCTGGGTCTGCCTTCCCCCACCCTGGCAAATAGTTCAGATTAAAAAGGAGAACTAGTTTAAAATACTTGTGAACTAGTTTTGGCAGCATATCAAGAGAATTACGGGAGAGTTATACAAGGGGCTGGTAAAACGTCAGTTTGGGCCAGAATGCCGAATTGACCCAAGCTATTTTGCTCGGCAAAATCCTTTTTATCTTTTACTGTAAGTGTAGTGATAACAACTGTCTGTTTACCCAAAGTCAAAGAGAAACTCATCGATATTTCTTGGAATGGAGATGGGACAAAACTTTTTCAAAGTTTTTTTTATCGGTACATGGGATGTGAATGTAGCTGGCAAGACCAGCATTTATTACCAAACCACATTTGCTCCTGAAGTTGGCTGAATTCTGGAGTTAATGATGAAGATAATCTCAAATTACTGTTAGGGAGTGGAGTTTTGGGATTTGACGTATGCAAATGATTGAATGACAATATACTTCCAAGATGTGATGATGTGTGACTGATCTTTGAAGTTTCCATACACCTTGTCCTTTCCAAGTGGTTGAAGTCACAGTTCGGAGCTGAGCTGCTGATTTGCATCTTGTAAATGGAAATCACTGTAGCCAGGTTGCAAGAGCAGTAAACTGAGTGATCATTTAAGTGATGGATGAGATACCAATTAAATGTCCTGGATGGTCTTGAGTGCTTGAGTTATACTGGAGTTGCACTCCTCCAGACAAATGAAGAGTATTCATGGCCTTTATCTGCATCATGGGATTCTATTTTGCCAATCGTGTCTGCACTGACCTTCCAGAGAGCATCTACCCTATCCCCATAACCCCACATTTACCATAGTTAATCCACCTAGCCTGTGCACTACAGGGAAATATAGCATCATCAATTCACCTACTCTGCATAGCTTTGGACTGTGGGAGGAAACCAGAGCTCCTGGAGGAAACGCATGCAGACATGGTGGGTCGGAGTGGGCGGAGTCCACAGATAGTCATCCAAGGCTGGAATCAAACCCACGAGTCCCTGGTGCTGTAAGGCAGCAATGCTAACCACTGAGCCACCATGCTACCCTCACTCCTGACTTGTGACTAGCAGATGGTGGAATGGCTTTAGAGAATATCCAATTCACCAATGTTAGAGTGCAGAAGGAGGCCAGTGTCTGCATTGGCTCTCCAAATGACCATTGTGACTTAGTGCCATTTTCCTGCATTTTCCCCAGTCTCTTGCGTATTGTTTCTATTTAAATAATCATCTTAATGCACTCTTGCCATCAGTTAAATCAGCTTCTCCTAGACTTTCCAGGAAGTGCATTCCAGAAGTGAAATCACTCATTAAATTTTTTTCCCCAACTTCACATTTGCTTCTGAAGATCGCTTTAATTTTGTGCCCTCTCGTTCATGATCCTTTTACAAACAGGAACAATTTCTGCTGAACTTTATCCAGCCCCATCATGATTTTGAAAACTTCTATCATATCTCCTTTTAGCCACCTTCTGTCCAAGAACAATAGTCCCAAGTTGTCCAATCTATCCTCATAACTGAAGTTTCTTATCCCTGGAACCATTCTTGACAATTTCTTCTGCACTCTCCAGTGTGTGCATATCTTCCTAAAATGTGGTACCCAGACTGTACAAAATACACCAGCTGAGATCCAATGAGTGTCTTGTATAAGTTCAGAATAACCTCATTAATCTTGTACTCCTGGGCCTTATGTACTCCAACTGCCATCTCTACCTGTCCTGCCACATTGGTTTACACATGTGCCCCCAGGTCCTCCTGATCCTGCATCATTTTGAAAATTGTACCCCTTTATTTTCTGTTGTCCGTTTTGAGTTCTTTCTACCAAAATGTATTACATGCGTCATTGTATTGGAACTCATTTGCCACCTATCCATGCGTTCTCCAACATGTCTGTGTGTCGGTTTTGAAGTTCTGCACTGTCCTCCTCACAGTTTATAGTGCTTCCAAGATTCGTATTGATCACAAACCTTGTAATTGCTTCCCGTTCACCACGATCTAGATCGTCATTATGTTTCAGGAAAAGGGAGTGTCCCAGTATCAACTCCTAGTGAAACTCCAGTATTAGCCTTCCTCTAACCTGAAATAGTGTGGTAGATGTTTTAGAGTGGTGCAGACAGGACAGCCTGAAGGGCCTTTTTCTGTGCTATAGATCTTTGACTCTGACCATTACTCTGTTTCTTATTACTTGGCAATGATTTGTATTACTGTTTCTACTGCTCCTTCTATTCCATGAGCTGTAACTTTTCTCACCAGTTTGTGTGGCATGGTAGTAGATGCTTTCTGGAAGATCATGTACACAACTGTGCCCCATCCATCTGTCACTGCTTTTAAAGAAAGAACAACTCATTTCCTTTGGGAAGAGCAGTATAAGAACATAAGTGCGGCCGGAGTAGGCCATTCAAACCCTCAAGTCTGCCCTACCTTTCTATATGAACATGGCTGATTTGCCCCAGCCCTCAGCTTCCCTTGGCCCTCAACTGCTCTTTCAAAAATCAGTCTCCATTCTCTTTAAATACTTTGTGATTTAGCCTCCACAACTCTTGAGGTAGAGAGCTCCAGACATTCAGTACCCTTAAGGAGGAAGAAATTCATTTGCGCCTCAGTTTTAAGTGAGAGTTCACTTTTTCTTTAACTATGTCCGTTAGCTCGAGATTTCACCACTAATGGAAACATCTTCTCAATGTCTAACTTGTCAAGCTCTTTCAGAATCCTATATGTTTCATTAAGATCACCTCTCACTATTTTAACTGTAATGACTAAAGGTTTAACGTATTCAGCCTTTCTTGATAAGTCAGCTCCTTCATCCCAGGAAGTAGCCATGTGATTCTTTGTTTGAACTACCTCCAGTGCCAATATATCTTTTCTTAAATGCTGTGACCAAAACTGTACACAGTTCTCCGCATGTCTGTCATCAACACCCTATAACAAGACTTTTAAACTCCAACCCCTAATAAGAGAGGCTAAAATTCCGTTTGCATCCTTAATCTTTTGTTGCGCCTCCATACTAATGATTTGTTTCATGCATAGGAACACCCAGATCTCTCTCTGTATTGCCTGTTTTTGGAGTCTCCCTCCATTTAAATAAGTCTGCCATTTGGTACTTCCCATCAAAGTGCACAACCCCTCACGTTGCTATGTTAAACTCTATCAAGTGTTTGCTTACTCACTAGACCTATCTATGTCCCCTGCAGATTCCTCATCACGTCACCTCCCACGATCAGCCCAGTTTTTAACCATGTGACCACTAATTCTATCCTGGATAATTGTTTCTAGAAGCTTTCCCACCACTGAAGTTAAACAGACTGATCTGTGATTGGGTTTATCAATTTTTGAACGAGGGTGTGATATTTGCAATTCTCCAGCTGTTTGCATCTCCCTGAGTCTCGGGAAGACTGAAAAATTATGGCCACTGCCCATGCAATTTCTATTCGCGATTCCTTCAGTATCCTTGGATGCATCTATCCTGGTACGTTGTCACCTTAAAGTATCAGTGGTCTATCCACACTTCACCTTATCAATTTTGAGGCCTAATTGGCCCTACTTGTCCTGTTACTAATTATACACTATTACAAGACTTCGGGATTTCTCTGTGTTGGCTGTGAGTCACTTCTCATTCCTCTTTGTTACTGTGATTTTTCACCTTCCCTATAAAGTTTATGTATTATTCTTGGTTCTCAATCGAATATTCAATCTGACACCTGTCATAAACGCATTTTTCTTTACCTTAATTTCTATCTTTCTACCTTACCTTCTTCACTTCATCAGAGATCCATTTTAACAACCTTTACAATGTTTCCCTTTCATCTGGTTTCCAAACAGATTTATGAGAATTGAAAAATATCCAAGAACGTTCATTGTTAAGAACTAAACTATTTGCCATTTTTGAATCATTTTTTTAGTGCCTCAATTTTTTTTCATAGTGATGAAGGCTAGGTATAAATTTCAACCTTGGTCTTGAGCAATGGCTTATGGAATATAACTTATTTACATTTCATTTTGCTTTAGTAATTTATATGCTGTAATTTTTTTTAGCACTAGTTATTTTCCTGCTGTACCTAGTCTGTGTTTTATTATTTTACCATAGCTCAATAACATAGATATGAAGTGCTTACCCATTGGTCATGTATAAATAACTTCTATGCGTCTTTTTACAGAAGGAAGGAATTCTTATTATAAAGCTGTTTCTGTAGCCTGCAGAGATGTTTTCAGCAAGTTGACTGCTAACTTACCGGAGCTCCAGAATTGTAGCAGCTCTTTAGCTGCTTTTGTAGTTGAAAGGTGTAAGTAGAATTTTGTTTGAGTCTGTAACTCTAACTCAAAAGGTCCAGAAACTGGATTACATCAAATTATAGATGGACAAGGATGGTGCAATATTAGTGCTGTCTGCTAATTATGATCACTCAAGTGTGCAGCCGTTACTACTCGCAAAACTCATTGCGTACACTGCATTCAAGGGATATTAGCTGTTTGGTCACTTTTTAAAGATATCATGCTACTCTTTCAACAAAAGGTAAAAGTTGATCTGACAGGAAGCAAAGAAATACTTTGAGTAAAGGAATTGCCACTGGAACAGCAGGTTTCGCCCATGTGTTCTCCGATTCTGTTGTGGAATTGAATGGAAGAGGCAGATCCTACTACCATTCACATCCTTCCAGGCATCGACTTCCAATCACAGCAGGATAAGTTGGCAAGCCATGTAAATGTCCCCAGTTTATCTTTCATACTCCAAAAAGCTGAATAACCTAACCACAGTTGTCAAGATAATAA